GAAAATTTTTGTCCGTAGCAAACGATAGCGTTAAAATTTTAGAGCAATCAGACAATTGGAGCTACGTTCGTGACAAAAGATGTAATAGTGAATACAAATGATAGCCACAAAATCAGAATCAGTCAACTGAAACCAAGTTTTGAAAATCAGAGATGAAATAGTAAATACGTTTAGTGAAAATGTCCGTTGGTTGCGTACGAAAGCAATAACATTTTAGATGAAAACTGAAACTGCAGTTTTGAAAAGCAATAGAGCAATAGCGAGTGTTTGGAAAATTTTTGTCCGTGGCAAACGATAGCGCAAAAATTTTAGAACAATCAGAAAATTGGAGCTACGTTCATGATGATAAATTAGTAGTGAACGCAAACGATAACGATAAAATTTTCAAAGAATCCGACAATTGGAACCAAGTTTAGAATTTCAAAGATGAAATAGTGAAAATGTCGGTCTGCTGCGAACGAAAGCAACACTTTAGAACAATCAGGCAATTAAATCGGAGTTGTATTTTTTCTTTAGCATATTCCGAAAATTGAAGCTATATTTCAAACAAGTAATAGATCTGACAGTAATGAAAGCAAAAAAAATTGGAAATTCAGACAATTAGACCTAATTTTTTCGAAAAGCAATAACGGAAAGAGTAGCTTGGTACCAGACATAATTCATTACAGCCTCGCTGGAAGTTAAACGAGAGGATATATTTGGTTTCTGGTTGATCTTTATACGCCTAGTCCCCTCCCGAAGAAACAATTTAAACCGACCGGTTTCCGTACGGGAATGTATATAACAGCATCTGCCGATAAATCAAGTACTTTCTTGATACGAAGATCAATGCGGAAACCAAATATCCTCTTCTAAAATTATTTATTCAAGGTGGCTCTGCATGTCAAAAGAAATGTCCACGCATTTTACTGTAAGTGCAAAAAAAAACGAAAAAAATAAAAAAATAAAAAAGCACGCCAAGTGAAATAAAAAAAAAAGCGCTCAATAATAAATGATCATGTCAACAAATGCTTAAAATATTTAGAAATTAACTTGAAAGTTGCCACGAAACTCAGATTTACTAACGAATCGCTAACGACTCCTGCAATAAGTTGAATCGATATAACTTGTTTGATAATTGTACTGAGCAAATTTAGTGAGCTTCAAGCTACAGCATTTTCAAATGAATTGGATCATTAATAAATTTTGAGCAAGGAAATTGCTCTTTCAACATTTACAATTCACATAAATTAATAACAATGGTTTCTTTTGTAGAAGCTCTGTGACCTTTTTGGGAGAAAAATGAAAATCTTAATATGTTCAAGTTAATTCGCCTGCAAAGTAAAGAATCGATCTTGAAAGAGACCTTTTGATTTCTTGTCTGAAAAGCTAAGATTTGACAAGTAGAATTCTTCGATAACTTAAAGCGTTTGAATAAGCTTCCAAAACGAAACAATTTTTATTGAATGGTCATGTGATATTGTTTTTGAGCAAGGGCATTGCCCTCCAACAAGCAATTGGCATCCTAAATTGAAACTAGGCCTTCGTAAAACTTCAGCGCTTAATGCGATTTTGGAGAACACGACAAATCAAAACTCAGCATTGAATTGTTTGCTCAAGTTTTATCACAAAAGAATTTGTTATGATTGACATGATCACAGTAGCTATTACGGTTTGATTTCAACATGCGGTGCCACCTTAAAATACTCTACAAAGGTTATCGCCTGGCGACAGGTTTTCAAACTTAGGGGAGTTGAGCGATTGTTAAACAATTTGGAATTTTGCAAGAAAAAAAATCAAAAACACTCTAATCTGACAAAATAAATGTAGCAAAACATGCAAATATCGACCGATAAAATTTAGTTTAATCAAACTGATGATCGCACGATCCAAGAAATAAAACTCCCCACAATTTGAAAACATGTAACAGATGATAACTCGAAAACGGTTGAAACCTTTCCGGCAAAAATGGCAGAAATAATTAATTAAACTTCACCACCAAATAGAAATTTTTTCCGCGCCCGAATGTCACTCGATTGCAAATATTTCAGTCGAGAAAAAAAAATTAAAACGTTAAACGATCAAAATGATTCTAGACTAAGAAGTTTTGACCTCTAATACAACATTTTTAGTTACAAGACTGCCATTACTTATCGGAAAGATTTCAATTTAACCAAATTCTAAAATGCTATTCTCAACTTTGTCTTCATCCTCCCTGCTTGAATCCTTTTGATCTCCTCCTGTCTTGCTGACAAACCCTGAAAACAGAATAGATAAAAATTGAGTAAGGAACAAACCCAAGTGTGGAAACTGAAAAGAGTAAACGAAATAAAATAATTCACAGTGAGCTGTTGAACACGAGTGCGCGTTCACCTGAGTGCAAGACAAATTTTGACAAAGAAACGCCACTTTCATAAGGAAAACCAAACTCTCGTAAAAATAACTGCTACTAACTTAAGTGTCTTGTATGGTTCCTGAACTAGCTTCTAACGTACGTTTTACTCCGCTACTAAAGCAATGAGGTTGTTCTGAAGTTCGACACGAAATGTAAACCGAGTCCGTCGAGCGCACGTGGCAGGACTTCGAGCCGGTATTTTTGGTTGATATATTACTTGCGAAGGTAGAATGCAAATAAATTGGTACCAACCATTGACAGAAATGGGTGTCGACCGGCTGTCCTTCCCCTAACATGGCTGCCATTTCTTCTTCAAAGTAAGAGTTTGTTTTTCGTGTAGAGGGGAACGGTACACATCTTACTCCGACGGCAAACATTTCAAAATGGCAAACAAGCACCTCAGGTCAGCAATAGTCATCATGAATATGCAAAATAAAATTAGACCAATCAGCTAACAGGCACGTCACAAATTCTAAAGAGAACACCCTTTGCACTCTTTACTCTGAGAAAGTTTTGCATTTTCTTTGTTTATATAGAGCTCACGTAAAATAAACACAACACGTCATTTTAAAATACTATTAACTTTTTTTTTTATAGTTCTTGATCAATATCAATCCCTCTCCTTGATTTTTAAATGCATTCGGCTGCGTTTTTAAGCTAATAAAGAGCGACTTAAATGAAAAAACAAATGGCAAGATGGGTATAATTTACGGTGACTCAGGTTTGATTTCCTAACTTGGTTGAAACGGGAAAAAAAGAATATTGTACGAAAAATATCAATAGACTCCAACACAAACACGAAAAAAAAACCGGAGTTTCCCTGTGGAGGCTGAACGCCATGCCCTTCCGAACCCAAGGTCGGAAATGTAACCACTATGCTACAGGGGGACTCCTTGAATTAGATAGCAAATTTATCGGCACCTATATCCACATGAATGTACTTTTTATTGACAGTCTCATCTTGCTTTGGAAAATATGCAACGAAAAAATAAGAGACCTTGTCTCATTTGTATAGTCTTTTTGAAACCTTTCCCAAGCAAAAAAAAAAAAAACATTTCCATCAAGATCCGTTATTTTATAGTTCTTCGCCTACTGGATACAAATTGATACAGACAGCTTACAACAAAAAAGAAATAATAAGCTGCATATATTTTACGGTCAGCCAGATTTGTTGTTCTTTCTTAAAATGTCTTTTCATCCCTGACTCGGTTGAAACAAAAAAAAAGAAGATTGCACGGGGAAAAAAATGGAGTCTAATAAAAATGTCCTTCCGAACCGAAGCTCGGAAATGTAACCACTGGGCTACAGGGTAACTCCTTGAATTGAGTAGCAAATTTAACGATACCTATAAGCAAATGAAATGTAGTTTTTATTGACAGCCTCACCTTGCTTTGGAAAATAAGCTATGAAGAAAAAAATGAAGGACCTTGCCTTAGTTATAGGTTTTTATTGAAGTCCATTTTTAAATCTGTCCCAAATAAAGAAATGACCTCCCAATTAGGATCCATACTTTCGCAGGTCTCTGCCTATTGGATACAAGCTAATAAAGAGCAGCTTAACTAAAATATACATGGCAACATGGATATATTTTACGGTCAGAAGGTGTTTAATGTCCCGGGCTCGAGAGGATGAAACTTCCAGAGGTATGATCGTTGTCAGCATGCGCAAAACAACCTACAAGCTGTGCGAGCAAATCAGGACTATCCCGAATGTGACGAAAACGTTGAATCCCGAACCTTTTGTTGGCCATGGACAAGGAAGTTATGACGGAATGGCGTGGAGAGAGGAACAGGAGTATTTGTTAAAGCAGTTTAGATCAGGAGTAACGAAGCTTCTCGTTTGCACCGGTGTGTTAGAGGAAGGACTGGATGTTCCAGAATTGTTGCCCCATTTCAGACCATGTGATGATATTCATGAGAATCCTTGCTTTCATCAAATTTTCGAATAGTCGCGTGTATATGAATGAATAATTTAAGATGGAGAAAAGAACAATTCTCTAGAGAATATCACGTGGTCTGTAATTGGAAAACAAACCAGCGCCCAAGCTAAAAAGGTCTATTAAATTAAGCTTTTTTTGCTTGGGCTAATTCAGTTAGTTAAGAAGATGTTAGTTGTCTTAAGGTTGATTTTTGGCCACCCACGAGTGTCAAGTTTGAAGGATTGAGATTCAGCAGGTAAAATAATTACCACTAAGATTAGTTTCGTAGCGTAGGTTTGCTAGAGAATTCAAGGCGATTCTGATGCAATGTTATGGGAAAACGTCCAGGGTTTATGTCCAATTCAGTCAGAAATTGACGTCTCAACTTTGCCGAGCGTTAAGCACATGTCAGTATTAGCATATAGATCCATCTAGTAATAGTTTTGCTTTTCCAGACGACTGCCTTTCCAAGAGCCAGCTTATCTTACGTAAATATTTACCTCTGGGGCTGCTTGGTTTGAATTGCTTGTTTTTATGCCAATTGAAAAATCTTAGTAGATAAAGGCTTTTTAATAGTTCGAGCACCTTGAAGTGACGCCAATTAGTAGCTCTATAAAACACTTTGACAATAATTTTAACTTCTGTGANGTCACGTGACGAAAGTTTGGTGCTCAAATCTGACGAACCCAGATGAGGAACCACTTCCGGTTTGGCTCCAGCCCTCTCTCCCCAAGAAACGTCGCAGACCTGAGGGGCCTGTTCATTGGCTAAAAGCAAATCCCTTGTTTCTTGGGACTTTCATCAATCGATGTCATTTTCGATCCGAATGGCCTTCAGAGCCCATCCTAAAGAACGTTCATATTAATTTCGACCACAGCCTCAAGATCTTGACCGTTCTCTTCTTCGTGCAAGGGAGTTCCTATAAGTTGGAACTTCGATACGATGAGCTCGAAGATTTCATTGCGGTGGATAGCGACGTGCATGCTAAAGTGTACAAAGTTTTTCTCTCAGTAAGACACCCTCCTCGATTGTACCAAGACAGTGAGGACAATCTTCCACAAGGTGTTCACGGTGATGGACAGGACGTCGACGACGGTTTCCATGAACAAGATGCTGAAGACGATCTGAACGACTCGTTGGATGATCGGAGTGACTCGGAAAACGAAGGCTTCTCGACCGATGAAGAATACCCGGATGTTGTAAGGAATTTTCACGAACGTGCCTCCCGAGATTCCTTTCAGGATGAAATTATCTGGGAACGAGTGTCAGACATCGGAAATAGTGAAAATGCTTGGAGCCAATGCTTTACCTATTGTCTGGTAATACCATCAGAGGAATCCATCAAACTGAGGCGTCTGTTGACTTCAATTGAGAGAAGATTCGACAAGAAGACATTTTACTGTCGCGTTAAGAAGAGCTTTGGAAGACTTCCAGATGTCGTCATCCCACCCGATTTGCCTTTTGATGTCAAGTATGCTGCACTGAGTGTCATCAGTTTTCATCCTGCAATTCGCGGAAGAGAGCCTGTAACATTTGGTTGCCTTCTGCAAAGTAAACCTCCTAATATGGTCATCCAAGCCTTGGAGAAGTTAAAGAAAGCATTGGAACAGGACAAGTTCTGCGATCCTTGTAACACTGTTGAAACACTACTGAACCAGAACAGTCCGTCGACTTCCGGGATTCAAAACAGGCTCGTCCCAAGCCATTGTGCACTGATTAAACGCGCGGTCATCACCCCAACGAGGCTACTACTGTACCCACCGGAAGTAATGGTCAAAAATCGCGTGCTCCGAAACTATAAAACGGAAGACTTCCTTTGCGTCAGTATCCGTGACGAGGATCTTTCTAAACTGTCGGCGGCAAGGGGAAGCGTTGATCTTCTGCTTGATGGTGTTCAGCGTGTTTTAGATGAAGGACTGGGAATAGCAGATCAGCGGTTTCACTTCCTGGGGTCCTCTAACAGTCAGCTGCGTAACCATAGTTGCTGGTTTGTCGGACCCAGCTTGCAACCGGCTGAAATACGTGACTGGATGGGAGACTTCAGAAATATCAAGTAAGTCAGTAATGTCTAGTTGTCAAATTCTTTTCACCATGCTAAACAAAACTTCTAATCATGAAAAGTCTTGGGTACAAGGGTTTGTTTTAAACAACCTGTGTTCCTTGCATGATCAGCATTGACCGAAGACGCGCAAGATCCGGGAACAAGTTTGGGTTCAAATGTGATGATTAGTCTGTACTGCGCATGTTCTGTCATTTACGGTTGTTTGTGAGACTCATAACTCGTTAAAGTGATCAGTGCAATAAGGATACAGTAATCAACAGATTAAGACATCATCATAGCAAAATACTCATAGAGGAGGCGAAACTTGAAGATTTACACCGTAACAAACATAAAGGCGTAAATTAAAATGGGAACGGGAAAAAAGTAAGACATATATTGGGTTTTTAAAAGATGATTCCGATGTAAGAAAAAGCTACGAACTTTCAGTTAGTCTACTCCTATGATTTTTCTCTCTCAATAGCACTCAATAGCATAGCTAGAAAAACTTGCACACAGTGAAAACGTGTCAAAATAAAAAATGATTATCCGTCCATTTTTAAACGCTAGGTGTGTTGCCTCGTACATGGCTCGCATGGGACAGTGTTTTTCCACCTCCATGGACGCAGTGGGCTTTGCTATCAGTGAAGGAACTTTTTATTACGAAGAAGACGATGTTAAGACAGCTGACCACAAATCCTGCTTTTCTGATGGCGTAGGAAGGATATCTGAGGAGCTAGCCGCAGAGGTATGTACATGAGAACAGAGGATATTGTCTTGATGTAACACCAAATTCTCAAAACTAACTTTCAAAGAAATTATACTAATATTTAGGAGAATTCGTATTTCTATCTCAGGGCTGAAAGGACTTAAACTTAACATTGGTCTTAGTTTCCCTTAATTCTTCTGACAGGTTGTCAAGAAAATCGCCAAACCGTTTAAACCATCTGCATTCCAAATCAGATTCGCTGGTTACAAAGGAGTCCTTGCAGTAGATCCCAGTCTACCGGGCAAACAGGCTTTGTTCCGACCCAGTATGAACAAATTTGAGAGCTTTCACCGCAGGCTGGAGGTACTGGAGACGTCTCGTCCCCAGGCCGTTTATCTAAACCACCAGGTCATCATGTTGCTGTCCAACTTGGGAGTCCCGGATGAAGTTTTCATCCAATTGCAGAACGACATGTTAGACCAGCTAGCGGGTAAGCTTATATATAGCGCGCGCATGCGCGTGAACTCGAAGGAGTTCATTTCTCGATAGTGTTCTAGTCTGTTAGGTCGGTTTTCCAAACTGGTTGGTTAATCAAAAAGCAACGCAGTGCATGTGCATGGAATCGTGTTATTTGGCCAAGTGATATTAAAGACCATGACACAGTGATGAAATTTTAATCATCAACTAAACAGTGTCTTCGTGCGGCGCATTTCACGAGGGAGAGATCAAGGGAACCGGCCATGCAATTATTTGAAAGATGTCGTAATGAGGGGTTAGTCCATACACTATTGCCCTTTAGTGTCGTGTACCTCAAATCATTGTGGTTCTAACTTTTTAAGTCTCTGGAAAAAGCCCTAATTTGTGACCATTGAAATGAAAGCTACTGAGCAGAACTTTCATGTGGTACTGTTTATTATGCTGTACAAGNTATTAAAGACCATGACACAGTGATGAAAGTTTAATCATCAACTAAACAGTGTCTCCGTGCGGCGCATTTCACGAGGGAGAGAACAAGGGAACCGGCCATGCAATTATTTGAAAGATGTCGGGATGAGGGGGCATTCCATACACTATTGTGCTTTAGTGTCGTGTACCTCAAATCATAGTGGTTCTAACTTTTAAGTCTCTGGAAAAAGCCCTGATTTGTGACCATTGAAATGAAAGCTACTGAGCAGAACTTTCATGTGGTACTGTTTATTATGCTGTACAAGGTGGTTCTAACTTTTAAGTCTATGGATGAAATCCTAGTGTGTGACCATTCAAATGAAAGCTATTGAGCAGGACTTTCATCTGGTACTGTTTATTATGCTGTACAAGGTGGTTCTAACTTTTAAGTCTGTGGATGAGACCCTAGTGTGTGACCATTCAAATGAAAGCTATTGAGCAGGACTTTCATCTGGTTCTGTTTATTATGCAGTACAAGATGATTTTAACTTATAAGTCTGTGGATGAAACCCTAGTGTGTGACTATTCAAATGAAAGCTATTGAGCAGTACTTTCATGTGTTTATTATTCTGTACCAGGTTGGTTTAACTTTGAGGTCTTTGCTTCCAACCCTTTTGTGACCATTCACTCTTGAGTAGTCCCTTTGTGGAGTGATATTTACTCTGCGATATTTTGTTGCTGTTCGCTTACCCTATGGACAATATTTTTTCCTTGATTTGATTGTCAAGATGATCTGAATTGACGAGGTCAAATTTGATCTGTTCCCAGGGATGCTGGTAAATGAACATGACGCTATCCAGTTACTGGGAAGTGGAGCCAAAATGGGCGTGTCCTATCACAGTTTATCAAGCGCTGGGATACCNATTATGCTGTACAAGGTGGTTCTAACTTTTAAGTCTGTGGATGAAACCCTAGTGTGTGACCATTCAAATGAAAGCTATTGAGCAGTACTTTCATCTGGTTCTGTTTATTATGCAGCACAAGATGATTTTAACTTATAAGCCTGTGGATGAAACCCTAGTGTGTCACTATTCAAATGAAAGCTATTGAGCAGTACTTTCATGTGTTTATTATTCTGTACCAGGTCTTTGGATCCAACGCTTTTGTGACCATTCACTCTTGAGTAGTCCCTTTGCGGAGTGATATTTACTCTGCGATATTTGGTTGCTGTTCGCTTACCCTATGGACAGTATTTTTTCCTTGATTTGATTGTCAAGATGATCTGAATTGACGAGGTCAAATTTGATCTGTTCCTAGGGATGCTGGTAAATGAACATGACGCTATCCAGTTACTGGGAAGTGGAGCCAAAATGGGCGTGTCCTATCACAGTTTTTCAAGCGCTGGGATACCGCTGACAACTGAGCCGTTTTTTAAGTCCCTTCTGGTCGCCATGTATAGAAATAGCATACACGAACTTCTCTCTCGAGCCCGCATTCGTCTGCCGCCAGCGGGGGCACGTTTGATGATGGGCGTCATGGACGAGTCGGGTGAATTGAAACCAGGCCAGGTACGTGAGACATTATTCCTTTTCATTTTATCGAGGATTTTCCTACAGTTTCTAAGTCTACGACAAATTCCAAGAACTTTGACCATTTATATTAGAGTTAAACGTAATTGACACCAATGTCATCTGTCACCTATCTCATTTGTGACATATTTTCACACCAAGGCTCAAAGGCCCCTGCTATGTTCGTAACAATATTTAGTGTTGTGAACAGAGAGCCAGGTTTCTAGTTTCACAGGCTCGCAATGCGTCCACAGAACTACACATATGGGTATATGATTGACGAAGAGTAAGGTCAAGATAGCTGGATACTGACCAAAATCTTTTTCTGCGTTTTTATGTTCTGATAGGCAGTCGAGGTTCGCAAACAAGCAAAAACTATCAAGGCCAATATCCAGCTATCTTGACAGAACAGACTTGGCAAAAAAGGAATCTATTCTATGGCGTGGGGGACATCAATTTCTTGCGGTACCCGCAGCGATATCATCTGTTCACTGAACTGACTTGGTCAAATTTTGTTATATGGTGTATGGGACATCATTTTCTTTCGGGATACAACGGGCAATCCCTAGCGTCATCTTGTCCACCCAGATAGCCAATCACAACGCAGGATTTGTTCATCTTGCCCGCTCGCAGACGTCATCTATATATAACACCTTTTATTGCATGTTTTTCGTCACATTAGGTCTACGTGCAGTATTCCGAGGAATCAAAGCGCGAAGACAGGGAGGACGAGTTCAACAAGAACCGCAAACATGTACTCACGGGACCGGTGGTGGTGACCAGGAATCCATGTCTACATCCAGGAGATGTTCGCCAGCTCGAGGCTGTAGAGGTACCACGGCTCGGCCACCTTGTGGACTGTATTGTTTTCCCGCGTCGAGGATCGCGACCCCATCCCAACGAGATGGCAGGTAACGAGATTTGTCGTTTGTAAATCAAGTTTAATCTTCACCAGTCTTTACTGTATTTGCTAAATGTTAGCTTTGTCATTATCCTCTGGGTATTTTTCTGTCAAATCATAACCAGAGGCAATGTATTTCCCGACTATAATTGGTTTTTAGCACAATCTATTTTTCATTAAATTAAATCGCTAGCAGCAAGGGTGTCTAACTTTGTGAGCGCTCATCTCCTGCTATCGACWGAATACTCTTTCTCTGTTTTCCCATACCTTAAGGGAATGTTTTTTCTCAGCGAGGTTGTCATTGACCACTAAAAACATTCAACATTTAACTTCCTTTTAAGTCAGGACGGTAAATCGTTTTTCCATTTTTTTTTTAAGAATTATCAATGACTAATTAGTTATGGGACCTCGTGTCGTTCAATTCATTCTGTAATCATACACGGGGTCGTCCTATTTCTTCAATCATTTTATTGCAGACCGAACTGAACTCCATTGAGTCCAGCGACAGTTTGGAGGTTTCCTTGAATTAGGTAAAGAGCAGGCTAGGGTTAGAATCGTATTTCATTTCTTAACCAGTGGATTCTTGTGATATTATAGGCGGTGATTTAGATGGTGATCTGTACTTCGTTTGCTGGAACGAAAGCCTGTTGCCAAGGAAACCGAATTTCCCGCCAATGGACTATCCGGCACTTCCAAAAAAAGAGCAGGATGAACCAATCACAGCTGCTGACATGACCAAGTTTGTGGTTGATTATATCCGGTCTGACCAGTTAGGGGTGATTGACAACGCGCACAAGGCCTTGGCTGATGTGGAAAAAGGCGGAGTGGAATCCGAGATCTGTCTGCATTTAGCAGAGCTACACTCCTTAGCGGTTGACGCTCCCAAGACGGGAAAGTGGCCCCAGGTGCCGAAAATGAAACGGTTGGAAAGGTACCCTGATTTTATGATGAAGTCCGATAAAGCTAGTTATCCGTCTGATAAGCTGTTAGGAAAGCTTTATCGACGTTGCCGAAAGTTTAAGGACACGGCGTCGGAGAAACACAGCCAGAAAATGCGAGTCGACAGTTCATTTCTGCTGTCAGGTCATGCCGAGTACATTGACAAAGCCAGAGAAGTGTATGAACAGTACCGTACCGAGATGGAAGCATTGCTGCGTTTGTATGGCATTGAAACCGAGGCCGAAGTCTTCACCGGGTGCTTCTTAAAGCTTCGAAATCGTTTACGCAAGGAGAAAACCGAGATCGCAGAAATCGTCGGCGAAAAGCTGTTCGCGATGCGATCGGAATTCCGGCGGGAATTCTTTCGTGATTTCGACCACGATGGGCAATCGTTAGTGGAAAGTACGCAGATCTCAAACAAGATGCTCCTGAAAGCGTCAGCCTGGTACAAAGTGGCTTACACGCATGCGCATGAGCACGAAGATGACTCTGATCCAGTCCACGGAAAGAGGTTGCTCGGGCTCCCCTGGTTTATCAATGACGTCATGCTCGCTATCAAAGAGCGCAAAGAACCACCAGGTTCGATTTCTGCTCAAGCCCTAGATGTTAGTACAATGGTGGGCCAGAGTCTCACCAGATTGTTCATTGAGGAGAAGAGCTGGCTACTTGAAGACTTCAAAACACGAGTGAGAATAAAAAACAGGATTTCTAGCCATCTTAGATCCTTCCAACCTAACCACTCGCTTACCATGATTGGATCTTCGGCTACACTTCTGTTTCATCAGAAGTCAGACCTGGATCTCTGCTTTCTACCACAGAGGTCTCGTGGTGTTCCTGTGGGACAACCGGAAGAGAACAGCAGCTCGATCGCAGTTCAAGCGAAGACTCTCCAGACACTCATCCCACACTTGAAGGCGGAAACGCAATCCGAAGAACAAGAACATGAAGACAAAAACGCCAAAAATCTATTCTGGAAAGTTCGCTTGGTTAACAAACAGCATTTCCCGGTGAGCATGAGTTTTCCTCAAATTATACTCAAATTACCCAGTGTGTTCTGCCTATTAAAGGGCAAACTAGTGAATTTACTACCGCAAACTTGATTTTATAACTTATTTCAATAATCCACTCCTCAAATTCAAACCAAGACTTGATCCACTACTTGATTCTTCATTCGATTAATGACCAAAATTCAAGAGACAACATTAGAGTAATTTTATCATATTCATTCAAGAAATGAGAAGCTAAAGAATGACTTAACAACGAAGTTTCGATCTCCAAATCCCAGTATTCTGCTCTCTCTTTACAAATACTCATAACTTGAATTGGATTTTTCAGGTTCTTGTTTGTAAGCGGCCAACAGAGAAGCTCCAAGCTGGTAGCAATTGCCCGTCTAATCTTTCCTGTGATTTGAGTTCTTCTCCAGACAGTTTAAACTTGACCATACTGGTGTCCAGCTATACGAAGTCATATCCGCGACTGTTGCTGGTGCTGCGTGCCGTTCACCGATGGTGTTGCGTGACAGGACTGTCACGCAATGCGGCTGGTGCCGGAAACATTTCTAATATCCTGGTCACCCTGCTTCTTGTTCAGTGCATGCGCAAAGGGCTTATTGGAAATTTTAACGTAGAACACATCGTGACTAAGAGGCAACAGCTAGTACAAGGTGGCGTGACGGATGGCGCCCAGTACATGGAATGGGAAAAAATCGTTCACCGTCTTGAAAAAAGTTGTAGCGAAAACCCAACGGACACACCCCTCACCCAAGAGGAGCTGGACACAGCCCAACTTGGTACAGTCCTTATGACTTTCTTTCAAACGCACGACTCGTCTTTTGAAAAGGACCTCCCAGATACCCTTGCGCGCATCTTACAAGTGCGAAAACTTGCAGAGCTGCTTGACAAAGAGCATTTACTCTTGGTGAAAGAACACATGCAACGCGCCTATCAGCTGTTAGCATTGTATGGAGATGTGCAGATCATGCTGGCAATAAGCGGCTCTGAAGATTACAACGTAATTTTCCTTTCTCCTCTCCTTACAACCTATTTGGCAGGCGTCGAGAAAAGCAAGGCCCTGGGAATTGCGAGAAAGACTGGGGCGACGAGCATCGTCATTCGTCCCAGTGTTTCCCGATCTCGAGCTTCAGCCATCCTTGAAGTGAAAGGAAGTGAGCCCGCCATCCGAGCTGTGGAAAGAGAGCTGGAAAAAATGTCTACTGAGGCGTCAAGTGACAGGGTGTCGCTCATGAGTGGCTGTTTCGTGGAAGACGCCAGTCTGCTGTTGTTTGAAGGCAGTCGGAATCAAAATGATCGCGTGACGCTGACACCATATGACGGGC